GATTCTACCCATGCAAGGGAGACACCCACATAATTAGCAGTACAACCAATCCATACAATATACATTCGGTAAATTCCCTCCCCTCAGATAACTACATAACATAATTAAAAAGGAACAGTTTTTCCCCAAAGTTTGGATGTACCCCAAGTACAGACATAAATTATCCCCAGATAGCTTACATTTCAGGTACCAACATATGTAAAAATCAGCTCAATCGGTTCAGCCGTTCGGGACATATAGGACTTAGAAGTTTTGACCGACCGCACGGGCACAGTAGCCGAAAACAGTTCCATGAATGCTGGCCCTGCAGTCGGTCTAAGAACGTGGGTAAAAACTCCCGAACGGCCGGCCATCCGTATACCATCCTGGGTTTGTTGAAATCCCCATCTGCTGCTAATTCTTTCTACCGAACGCCCGGTCGTTCGGTAGATTTGGCGATGTTTTCCCGAAGGTATGGAGGTCTCAGCGGTGTTCGCCTGTTTGAGTGTCCGATGTTAGTTCCAGACATTCATCGGCAAACACCGCTGTTCGGGAGTTAAAATGGCCGCGAACACGTGTAAGTCCCGAAATGGTGGCTGAGCTTACAGTTCCCATAGCGTTCGTGCGGTTGATTCGAATAAAGTGCCCATCAAACAGGGAGGTAAATTGGCCATAATTAGCAGTTAAGGTGGCCTGTTAAGGCAGGTAAGCATTCGCATGGTGAATGCTGACAAACAAAATACCGAACGGCCGTATAATCCATTTGTCCTTTGCAGTCATACTGTGCTTGTTGTTACACAGGCTATTGGGAATCGCACAGCGGAGCTGGAGACCAGGGTGGAGCAAGTACTACAAGCCCATAACGCGGTTGCAGACTCCGCTGATGATCTTCGGGTTCGTCTGCAAGCGGTGGAGGGCCTGTTGGAGGACTTATCCAACAAGTCCAAAAGATTTAAAGTACGGGTGCAGGGCCTTCCCGAAGCATCTGGTGAAGGGAGTGTAGCTGACCTCCTGACCGCAATCTTCCGCCCCCTGTTGCCCACTATACCGGACGGTTTCTTCTTCTTGTTTTTCTGTTTCCTCTATCCCCTCCCCCCTCCCCCACACAGTGAGTATAGACACTACAGGGGATTGAAGGGCACCACCCCCCAGGTGGCGCCAGAATATTTGGCCTATGGTTGACTGAGCACATGTCCCACCTTAATGGTTCTTATAGTAGTATACCTAAATGTCAAAGGCCTAAACTCTCCCAGGAAGTGACATTTACGATTATCTAAGGAATTAAAACGTATGAAGGCGGACATTGCTTTTCTTCTGGAGACTCACATACCCAGGACATCCCAGACTGCTCTAAGGGATAGGAATTACAACATGTCCTACGCCTCTAGATCTTTCTGCACACACAATGGGGTAGAAATTCTGATAAACAAGCATTGTAATCTGCAGGTGATGGGGTCAAGCTTGGATGGGGAGGGTAGATACCTATGTCTCACTGATTCTTTAGGAACGCAAACGATCCATTTTATAAATGTATATGCCCCAAACGCAGCGGAAAGACGATTTTGGGGAGAGCTGGGCAGTGTAGTGCGACCTTTGAGTCAGGGCTTTGTGGT